TAGTTACTTATATGATTAGGTAGAATTAAGTAAATATAGATTTATTTCATAAAATCTTTTATAAAAGCTTCCTAGAAGCTTTCATAGATGCGATTTGTCTTTAGATGTATTTGTAGGATAGAAACTTGGCCAATAAGTTAACCACATATTTGTAGCTTGTGGAAGAAGTTAACTTTGTATAGTAGTTTGTGGAACAAACTAACTACGTGGCACATGTATAGTTAACTTGTCTTGTAAGTTAAGACATGTGAATAGCAAAGTCAATACATGTTGGACGTCCTATAGAATATTGCCACATAGTTCTTAATTAGAAAGTTTATATAAAAGCAAGAGTGAAGCCTTTTTCACTCTTATCAATGCCTTTCTAGTCTTTAGTCTTGTTTCAAGACTTTCTATTCTTGTTTTTGACAATAGCCATTCTAGTTCAATATTTTATTATCTTTGAGTGGCTCTCTAGTTCTCTTCAGTGATGCAAGAATGTATTGAGGATTTTCTTTCTTTGAAATTCATATCCTTGATATTTTAGGAGAGCATATGACCTTTACTAGTTGTTATACAAAAAATTTACTTCAGTATCTCTATTGTAATAGAATAAATTTGTTTTTTGGCACATGGATGTTTTTACTAATTGTGCTCTTCAATTTGTAGTTCCATTGTTTTTTTGGATAATATTGAGTAGTGTGCTTAGATTCTATTTAATGTAAACATAAACCTTTTTGATGGCATTGAGTCTCTTCTTACTTAGTAAGAAGCTTGAAATATTCCATATCAATTTACATAGATATGGAACTTAATGAATAAGCTTTATAAATTTAGAGGCTTTTTTCATGGCTTGATTTGTACTTTTTTAACTTAAAATTTGTTCTTAGTGCCTTTCATAGAATTGATTATTATAATGCAATCGCTTGAAAAAGAAATCCTCTAACAAGCCAATTCTTTGCATTGTTATTAATAAATCTTTGATATTATCTTTTTATTCATTTTGAAATTTCTTGATAAGGGCTTTGTCTTTCCAATCTACATCACAAGTGAGATTTTGGAATTTTGCAACATATATAGTAGTTGAAAGTAATTATAGTTGTAAAGATATAACTTTGATTTCTTTTTCTTTTATTGATCACTATTTCTAAATATAGTTATAAAAACTTTTAAGAATGAATTTAAATCATAGAATAGTCATGAATTATTTTTCATCAAAAGAATAAATCAAAAAGAATACTTTTAGAAAAAAAAAAAATCACCTATAAATTTAACATGAGTAAATTCATCAAGATATTGAAAAGGATCCAACCTAAGATAGAGCTTTACTTGTTTTTAAAATCATCAGAACTTTTATCTTATTCCATCAAATTTCTTTGGCATACTTATTCTTGTTTCTTTCAAATTTGTAGTCATAGCATTTCTTAAATTTAATTATGATCTAAATCTACTTGCTTCTCTTAATAGTACAACTTCTAAACATAGTCTTTGAATTTTATTGTTAACTTCATTTATAAGTATCGAAACACTACCTCCATAGTTGGCGATAAAGATATGTGAGATTTTCACCCTCAGAGTGTTGTTAAGCTTGTGAAGATTTGCAATAGTTGTAAATCGATTCTCACTTTTGTCAAGAGTAGCATCCATAATTTATTCTTCTATAAATAATTTTAAAAAATCTAAAAATTAAATTAAAGAAGTCTAACCTACAACCTTTAATATCAAATAAAAATTTCTACAAAGATGAGTAATCTATTCTCTTTAAGAAAAAAAAATCACTATAAGGGAACTAAAATATTAGATTGAAGGTAGGTATTTTACAACCTTCAAAATACAACAATAAAAGTAACATAGTTCATTCATTTCTAAAAACAAGACAAGAACAATTAGCTAGCATTCTTATTAAACTATCAAAAATATAAATCTCAAAGAACCAAAAATTCAATATATTCTTGTACAACTTAAAAAGAATAAATATTCATTCAAAATTAATAAAGTATTGAAATTAGAATGGCTATTACCAAAGATAAGTAGATAAGAAAGTCTTGAAACAAGACTAAAGACTAAAAAGATATTGACTAGAGTAAAGAAGGCCACACTTTTACCTCTATATATACTATCAACTAAAAACTACATGGCAACATCCTATAAGACCTCCAATACAAATCCAATTTGCAAGATACATGTCTTAACTTGAAAGAAAAGTTTCCTATATATATGCCACATTATTAGCTTATACTACTAATTATCTACTCATATAATATGTAACTAACTTATTGGCTAAGTTTTTAACTTATCAATCAACTATAAAGTCAAATAGACATCTATGAAGCTTTTGAGAATCTTTTCCATAAGATAATATCAAATCTATCTACATTAATTTTCTACCTAATACTTGATACCTTCTAACAAATGTTCTATCTCTATTATCAACTTTGGATTTCTTATTAACCTTGGAATTAAATCCTTTGCAATCAATATCTTTTGTTATAAATTTAAAAACTACATTACCATCTTCCATTCTTTAATTGCTTCCAAAAACATACATATCTCTATAGTATCTCTACTACTTTTTTGATTTTCTTTTCTATCTATTTGCTTTCATTTCTATCTTCCACTCAAAAATCATTTTTGGTTGAAAGAATTATTCCTAAAACCTTACAAAACATAAACTCCACTTATCTATGTATACTCCAATATAAAGGTATTTGAACTATAACATCAACTTATAGACTCTAAAGAATCTACATTATTTTACACAAAATAATCACAATAATTTGAGTACAATCCTAGCAAAATAACATCAATAATTACAAATATTTGATTGTCTTTTTTAAAAGAATAATTTATTTTTGAACTTGAATCTAAAAGTCTTGTATAATTTAGAAGAATTATTCTTAAAATCATACACAAGATGATCAGATGACATACTTTAATGAACTTGTTTAAAGAAGGTTGAATTAATAGCCAATATTGATTTTATTGCTCAAAGATGAAAATGCTTTGGCTTTAAGAAAATTGTTTTTTTTTGATAAAATATTCATAGTATTATAGATACAAATTATTCACCACAAAAGCAATCACAATAACATAGAGTTCACACAATTCCATCTATGAGCAATTCATATATGACCACACTCTCCAAAACTAAAAATATGGGCATAAACTTATTTCTTATATGAAATATGCTAATATGCAAATATTATTTTATTTATTCTTTTAGTAAAAATGAATTTGTTTAGTAAACACAATGGCTAATTTGCAAATCAAGTAGAATCACTTTTTTTTTACTACTTAACATAATCACTCCTTAAAAAAAAGATAGTATTTTTGTAAAAATAATGCCACCCATCATTGCATCCTTGTCAACAATGTGACAAAATATAAGAAACATTCACCTTGTTTCTATACCAATTTACATCTTCACTGTCTCTTTTTCAAATTGACTAAAGTAGCAAAGCATGGATGTTTCTAGCAATAATCATAATAAAAATCCAATCTTACTTTGAAACATGTTCTGTGCCACTCAACCTCAATGCAAAGTTTGTAATAAGAAAGGGTGTTAAAATAATGATCATTATTCTATCATCTCTCAATATCCATCTATAGATGGAAAATATAATTAGGTCTACATCATATTCTTGTTGTTGAGATCAAGAACTATAGGATTTCAATCCGTATATTTATACCTTGTAGTTTTGTAATAGTAATGTGTTGAATATATATTATTGTTTAGGCTCCTTGAATCACTCTCTTGATTCTTTATATTCTTTTTATCTTATGCTTATTTCTTCATATATGTATTTTTTTATATCAAATAATTATATAATCTTAAAAATCTAATTAAATATTATAATATAAATCAAAACTTTTTATAAAAATATTTTTTTGCTTTAATTTTTTTTCTTATATCTTTTGGTAGTAAATTTAATCATTATGGTTATTAATAATTTATTATATTTTATTCTTATAATCAACAAATTTCTTCCTAAAGATATAAACTTTGGATTGGATATTTGAATGAACCATATATTTTACTAAATAGATAGTTATTTCAATCAATTCATATATCAAATATCTTCTTTCTATATAAGTTCTTTCTACTTTAATGTTTTGAAATATAATCCAATTGTATATATCACATAACTACTCAAATTCATTATTCCAAAAAATCAAATATATATTTACATTATTTTTCATTACAATCAAGTAGAGGAATTAAAAGCAATACTAGTCACTATCAAAAAATCGTTAGTATAACTGTCAAAATATTTGCTTCACCTATAACTTCTACCATCTAAAATATGAAATAAAAAACTTCAAAATATTTTGATAACATCCTAAAGATAATGTGATTTCAAAATCTCATGATTTATTTAGGTAAAAAAAACCAAGGTTTCTTACTAAATCCTTTCAAAACCAAAATGTCAAGATGGCAAGAATGACTATGTTTTCTTTTTAAGATGTCCATATCCACATTTTTCATGTTAATTGAAACATATTCTAAATTCACTACTTTTAGTGCCACTATTGAAACAAACTAAACTGATTATCTTCATACAACCAAAGATATGTTTGCTTTTTAAAATGATGTAACCATTGTTGTACTTTTAAATTCCAAACAAGTGACAGAACAAGTGGAGTGTGAATAGAAAACAAAGATAAAAGATAATGGTTCATAGTTAACCAACAAAAAGCTGAATATTTTGATTAAAGAAAGCTGTTAATAAAATCAAAATGAAACAAGAAATGTGAAAACCTCACACAATGTAAGACACAGAAAGGCAAAAGAAGAAGAAGGCAATGAAGTGGGTGATTACAAAAGCCGAATGGGTGCACTAAGGACAATAAAATGGAAGAATAAATAGAAGAAGGAGAAGGGCGGGCGGGCAAGAGGGAACGGGAACGAGGGAGCGAACGGGGAGAGCGAAGGAGCGGGGGTTTGGGATTAGGGTTTGGAGGCTGCGATGGCGATGGGGTGGGGGGGGGGGGGGGGTTGGGGTAGAAGGCCTGCTCCCCCACATAGTGTCTCCTCTTTTTCCCCTTTATCTTCTGCTGCAGGGTTTGTGTGGGTTTGTGCGAGGAGCTCGCTGCTGTGCTGGGATGGGTCGTGTTATTAGGGCGCAGAGGAAGGGAGCTGGCTCCATATTCCGGAGCCACACCCACCGACGCAAGGGCCCTGCCCAGTTCCGGTCTCTGGACTACGCCGAGCGCAATGGCTACATCAAGGGCGTCGTGTCTGAGGTGGTGCACGACTCCGGGCGCGGGGCTCCGCTTTGCAAGGTGACGTTCCGCCACCCCTTCCGCTTCAAACGTCAGAAGGAGCGGTTCATTGCCGCCGAGGGCATGTACTCCGGGCAATTCGTGTACTGCGGCAAGAAGGCCACTTTGTCGATCGGGAACGTGCTGCCTTTGAGGTCTGTGCCCGAGGGTGCCGTGGTGTGCAACGTGGAGCACCGCATGGGAGATCGGGGCGCGTTCGCGAGGGCGTCCGGTGACTACGCCATCGTGGTGTCGCACAATGTCGACAGCGGAACCACCCGGTATGTTCTGGCTGCTGTATTTTGTGGTTGTGATTGCGATTATGTTGTGGAGTGGGTTCTCGTTATCGTAGGGTTTAGGTTTTTCGATCGAAGCGGGGAATGAGCGATGGCGATTAGGTCGAACAGGTGACTGGATGGGCACAGGATTCTGGAGGCTTCGGGGGAGGAATTAGGGTGTTGATCGGATGGTTATGTGCAATGTGGAATGTGGGTGCAGCATCAAGTTGCCGTCGGGAGCCAAGAAGGTGGTGCCGAGCGGGTGCCGAGCCATGGTCGGGCAGGTCGCCGGCGGAGGCAGAACCGAGAAGCCGATGCTGAAGGCCGGAAACGCGTACCACAAGTACAAGGTGAAGAGGAACAGCTGGCCTAAGGTGAGAGGTGTGGCGATGAACCCCGTGGAGCATCCCCACGGAGGAGGTAATCACCAGCACATTGGTCACGCGAGTACGGTTCGGCGGGACGCTCCTCCCGGGCAGAAGGTGGGTCTCATTGCTGCCAGGCGGACGGGACGTCTGCGTGGTCAAGCCGCGACGGCGGCGTCGAAGGTGGACAAGGCGTAGAGGGATGGCGGTGGTAGGGGGCGAGCGGTTGGGAAGTCCCAGCGGCGATAGAGAGGGCGTGGTGCGGGGGAGAGACGCGAACGAGAGAGACGATGCTGCGTATGTGATGTGTGTGGACTTGTGGATCAATGGAATGGCGAAGGCCGATATTCGAGTAAATTGGTGGTGGTGGTGGTGGTGGTGGATGGGGTGTGGACATTTGTGTGGCCCGGTTGCGTTGATGTGGCAATTTGGAACCGGTGCAGACGGGAGGTGAGAGTGGAATGTGTGACGTGGGAGGGACACATATGGGGTGGTTGTGCGAGTAATGGCAACGGTTGTGGTGTGGCGATGTTGATGGTCGGTTGTGGGAGGATGTTATGATGCGTGCGGTTGTGGAGTACGTGCACTGTGATTTGTTTGCATGTTGTTTTTGTGCTTACCTTGGTACGGATGGTTTTCTGTTTTTTCTTCGTCATGTTCTATGTGCGTCTGCTTTGAAGGTTGTCGTGGGATTTTAGGTCGTTTTCTTATTGGCGACAAATGACATTGATGTGGTTGGATGGAATAGTAGCTGGCATGATTTGTCGGTGTTCTGTGGTTGTATATCGTGCACGTCGTGCACCTTGGATTAGTGCGTTGCATTTTGTTTGTTTGTAACGGGACTGTCAGTGGTTTTTGTGTCGAGGTAGTTGATGACCTCTAGACGAGTACATGGACGGCAGGGGTTGTAGGAGCTGGTGTAGGGAGCCTTGGGCGCTGGAAATGGTGTGGTTAGAATGGGGGAGAGATGGGTACTGGTTGTTGTCAGCTAAAGGATGCTGGCGCAATCCACGGCGTGTTTATGGGGTTTAAGGAGTTCTTGTCGACGTTGCAGTTATTCGCCCTTGGGCTGTGATATTTATCTTGCATTAGGAGTTTTATGAAGTATTGGTGAGTTTTATTTCTCGATGACGAGGTGATGTTTTATGTACTGGTGGGGAATGAGTCATAGAGGCTTGGTTTTCGGAGTTGTTCTGGATGTTCTTTTGTTTGGTTATATTGTTGTGGGATATGTTGCTAGTATTATTATCCTTTTATCAAATTGTATCGATTTTACGTATGATACTGTGTATTTTCAGTTTTGTTGTGATATGAGCGAATTGTCTATATAGCTTTTATAACAGGGGTGGTTGTCGTTTTGAGATTTAATTTCTTACGTTTGTTTTATAATGTGCTTCACAAAGTGGTTTTAGGTAAGGGTTATGTCGTAGATTGTCGTTGCAAGTTGATTTATTGGATATTTTTGAAGTGTATATGTTTCGGACAAAGATTTACATAAGGGTGGTTGTAAGGTGCCAATATCTTGATGCAATGGCAATGTGTCTTATTTGGATCGGAGCAGTGTAAATTAGAATGGCGAAAGCATGTAAATATCAGGGTATATTTTGCGAAAGTGGAGATGATTACGCAGTTTTCGTTGTCAGCGTCACTACTTCTTAATTGAAGATTTTTGATACACTTTGTGTCCATTTTTCCATGTACCTCATCTTAATATAATTTTAAACTCCTTACAAGAATTAATATATTGAATGCATGTGGTACATCTCATGTATATGTCTACATCTATAACCACATCAAAAAATTGTAAGGTTTGAAAGATGTTAATGATACGTTTGGATTCTAATGCTTATCATGAATTCCAGTGGTTATTCATGGCTATATATAATTGTACAATTTGACTCACAAATGTGTATTCTAGCACATAGGAAAAGTTTGGGTATTTATTTTTTTTATGTGAAAGTTTTTAAGTATCATAATTATTTATTATAAAACACATTAATCATAAAATTAGAATGTGTACCGTATCACAGTTTGATTTTGCCCTAAACCTCAAGAAACAACTAAGTGATATATGTATAATTCACAAAGCATATGTTGAGTCATCTAGAAAGACAAACTTGTGCTACTTACATGTATTCATGGAAGACTTATTTAAGCTCTATGTACAAAACATGTTATCAACATTCTACAACAATGGAGAGTTAAGTGAAAAAATATATATATATATATATATATATATATTTTTTATTTTTATTTTGCATAAATACACTACATACATCTAAGGAGTTGATGTGGCAAATCAACTTTGTACATTGTTTAGTGCCTAAGTAAGAAGCTACAAGTAGAGGCATCACATTTTCTTTTTCTTTTTGGATTTGATAGTAGTAAGTATGCATATTATTTACTTAGAATGCTTAAACAATGCACCTTGTAGCTGGAAGCAAAGAATATCAAATACCCATTTACAAATTGGATTATGTGATGCTCTTTTATAAGGTTGGAAGATAAAGAATGTAGTGTCATAGACATACATATTTATTCTAGTAATTATTTATATGATTAAATAGAAGTAGATAAAAGTAGATAAATTTCATAATATCTTTTGGAAAAGCTTTTAGAAGCTTTATAGATGCTGCTTTGACTTTATACATTTTTGTAGTTAATTGATAGGTTAAAATCTTGGTCAATAAGTTAACCACGTGTTACACATGTTGGTAGCTTGTAAAACAAGCAAACTCTGTGGCACACATATAGAAAACTTGACTTGTAAGTTTAGACATATGCCTAATAAAGTCAATATGAGTTACAGGCCATGTGGAACTTTGCTATAGAGCTTCTAATTAGATAGTATATATAGAAGCATGAATGAAGCCTTCTTCACTCTTGTTAATGCCTTTTTAGTCCTTAGTCTTGTTTCAAGACTTTTTAATCTTGATTTTTTTAGCAATATCTATTTTAATTTAATATATTATCATCTTTGAATAATTATCTAGTCTTTTTGAGTGACATAAGAATGTCTTGATTTTTTAGTTTTTTAAAATTCATGTCTTTAACAGTTTGACAAAAGTACTAATTCATTGTTTTTGTCTTGTTTTAGAAGTAAATGGATTACCCCACTTCTATTGTTGTATTTTAAAGATTGCGGCCTATCCACCTTTAAACAAACAATTTAGTTTTCTAACACCAATTTTTTCTTAAAGAGAGAAAATTACTTTTTTTTGTAGAAATTTTCATTTAATATTAAAGGTTACAGATTATCCTCTTTTATTTTGACTTTTGGATTTACTAAGTTATTTGAAATAGGAGAAAAAATCATAGATGCTACATTTAATAGAAATTAGAATAGTTTTGCAATTATTGTAGATCTTCTTGAGCTTATCAACACTCTTATGATGGAAATTTCATACATTATTAGTTCCAACTATAGAAGCTCTATTCCTACATCTATGGAAGAAGTCAAAAGTTTACACTAAGAAGTTATATAGTTGAGAGAAGTAAATAGATCAACTTCATAACTAAATTCAAGAAATCTTACTTCTACAAGTACGAGGGAGGGAAGGATTAATATGCTTGAGAAGTTTGATGTAACATGATTAAAATTTTGAAGATTTCTACAACAAGTTAAGCTCTATTTAAGTTTGTATTATTTCCAATATTCTAATGGATTTATTCAAGTTGGATTTATAGGTGAATTTTTTTTGAAAGTACTCTCTCTTGGTTTGCCTCTTTGATGAAAAATGATTTACAATTCTTTTAAGATTTGAATTTATTCTTAAAAGTATTTACGGCCACATTTGGAAAAAATAATTGAGAAAGAATAGCAAAGACTAAGCTCTTATCTTTACAATAAGGATCACGGTTAGCCACTATATATGTTGCTGAATTCCAAAACCTTGTAGTATAAATTGGAATAATAAAGTCTTTATTAATCAATTCTCATATGAGTTGAAAGATAACATCAAAGATTTATTATTAATAATATTAAAAGAATATTCTTTGAAATAATTTATTGCTTAAGCTATTGCATTGTCAGAGACATATATTTATTGTAATTATTACCTAGGTAATATGAATAGATAGAAGCAAGTAAAAGTAGATTAGTTTCATAATATCTTCTAGGTAAGCTTCTTAGAAGCTTTATAGACGCTGCTTTGACTTTACATGTGTTTATACTTAATTATTAGGTTAGAAACTTGATCAACAATTTAACCACGTACCACACATGTTGGTAGCTTGTGGAACAAACTAACTATCTAGAGCCTACATAGAAAACTTGCCTTGCCATTTAAGGTACATGTTGTGCAAAGTCAATACATTTCTGGAGGTCCTATAGAATGTCACCACGTAACTCCTAAGTAGATAGTATATATAGAGGCAAGAGTGAAGCCTTCTTCATTCTTGTCAATTCTTTTTTTACTTCTAATCTAGTTTCAAGGGTCTCTAGTTTTCTTGTCTTTTGGCAATAGCCATTTCAGTTTATTTTTTAATATACATATTTAGTTATTTCTATTTTGTCATCTTTCTTTGAAAAAAGTCTAACTTGTTTATTTATTTTTATGAAATTCTAGTCCTTGATAGATTGACAAGAATCCAGTTACAATATCAAAGCTTTGTCTAATCTTGATTAAGAGTGGATTACTCCTTTCTCTTGATAAGACATAAGCGTATTAGATGTTGCGGATTACCCTCTTCTAAACTAATATTGTCTTTAGTATTTTCTTTGTTCTCAAATCCTCTCTTCTATTTATCTTGAGCAATATTAGACATCTTTTTTTCTAAATGTTATCATGACAGAATTGGCTGAAATAAAGAGTACAATGGTACAAATACAAGAGCAATTGAGGGAGTTAATGCTTGCGATGCATCAACTCAATTTACCATGAAAAGCAGCAAGAAGATTGACAGGAAGTGAAGATATAGAAATGATTGGAGCTGCTTCAACATCTGTACCAAATCATGTCCCTTCTCCTATGATGGAACGCCCTTCCAGTGTTAGAGAACCTAGAATTGCCCTACTCGAGAAGTTTGATGGCACAAAATCAAAGTTTAGAGGATTTATCAATCAAGTACAACTTGTGATTGAACTTCAATCCCAAAGCTATCTAACTTCAAGATCACAAGTTAGATTTATTTGTATGCTTTTTTCAGGTTCAGCATTATCATAGTTTTTATCTTTTCTTGAATGACGAGATCCAATATTGGACAATCTAGAGGTTTTTTTGAGAGAGTTTCAATCCATGTATGGAGAATATGATGCTATTTGTGTTGCAACCAATAAGATCCATATTTTACGACAAGGCAATCAATCATAATGTTGTATGCTTCACAATTTTGATAACTTACAATTGATATCAAAT